TACTACTACTAACTACTACTACTACTACGACTACTCACTACTACTACTACTACTACGACTAGCTCGACTAACATACTACTACGACTATACTACTAATACTACTAACTACTACAACTACCTACTACTAAACGACTACTACTACTAACTACTACTACTACTCTACTACTACTACACTACTAATACTACTACTACTACTACTACTGCTACTACTACAACTACAACAACAACTACTACTACTACTACTACTACTACAACAACTACTACTACTACTACTACTACTACTACTACTATACTACTATTACTATTACTATTACGACGACTACTACTACTACTACTACTACTACTACTACTATTACTACTACTATTACTATTACAAACACTGCGAGGAGTAGTGCTACGGCGAAGGCCGCGCGACACAAGTCAACCACTGGACTCTTTCCCGGCTAGGATCTGCGCAGCGGGAGTTGGAGACCCTTAAGGTGATAGTGGGATTTTCGGAAATCCATGCTTCAAGCTTCCATACAACAACTCAGCAAACTGGACTCTTTCCCGGCGGAGCGCCGGGGAAAAGTCCAGTTTGCCGGGAAAAAGCCCAGTTTGCCGGGAAAAAGTGGGGAACCGGGGGGGGGGGGGGCAACCCTCGATGTTGAGCCCCGTGAGCTCGGCGTCGCGCGGCGCCACCGCGCCCGGGCCCATCTGTCGAAGCGGTTTCTTGGCCAGGCGACTGGGCAACTGGGGGCGGAACCTCTTCTTCGCCCCTGCCGACGTGCTCGCGCCCACTGCCCGCTGGACCTCTCGCGCCGGGCAGGGCGGGCCCGCCGAGTCCTGGGGCCTGCGCGGCCTGGCTCGCGCCAGACTTCGCGGCGCCCTTCTGGCGGGGGGCGCAGCTCCGGGAAGATCGGGGCGTCGAAATCGTCGTGCTCCAGCAGGGCGCGCGGCGGATGGCCCAGCCCAGGGGGCCCCTCATGCAGAGCTCCTGGGCGTCGAGATCGGCGGGGTCAAGGGTCGCCCCCGGCCCCCCGCCGCTTGCCCCGACAGGGTTTCAAGGGGCTTCCGACCGCGCGCCGGAGGCGGTCCTGGGCGGCGCCCGAGTCTGCCTGAGCCCCAGCTGCCGCCGGTGGGCGGGGCCCCGGGGCCGCGGGCGGAGACGCCCCCTCTGGGCCTGCGCCTCCGCCTGCCGATTCAGCCCAAGGGGCCTGTCGCGCTCCACAAAATGCATGCGCTGCGCCTCGCATTCGTCGGTCTCGGACTGGAGACTGCCGCGGGGCGCTCTAACTGCTTCTGCCGACGCCGATCGCAAGGGGGCCATGGCGCCTGCGCGTAGTTTTCGATTTCTCATTGAAGCGCCTAGTTTTGTCCAACAGTTTCTTAAGCGCGATGTCGGGCTCGAGCGTGCCGCCGAGCACCTGTCGGGCGTCGACTGCAGCTGCTTCCTTAAGTTGTGCTGGCCTGCCGCACCTGGCAGGCGCTCTCGATTCCGCCTTGGCGACTGCCCCGTTGGACTCTCTGATGTCCAGCCCTGCTCTCTCGCGCTCGCGCCCAGCGCGGGGCCGAGCAGCTGTTCATTTCGCCGACTGCCTTCGAGCCTCGTCGAAGAGGGATGGGGGGGGCGGGGCGGGGCGGAGCGGGGCGCGCCGGCGTCGGCCAGGGCGGCGGGGCCTGGGGGGCCCGCGCGAGCGGGGCGGGCTCCCAGTCGCAGATGCGGAAGTCGTGATCCGTGAAGTGTGTGACGTAGTGCATGTTCAAGAGTGTTCCATTGCGTGCTGCCTTGTGCCAGTGCAACCCTTGTCCGCTGCTTGGTTGGGGATGCGTGTTTGCTGCTAGGGAAGTGCTTGATTTCGCCTTCCTGCCGTTTCCCCTGACCCCCATGCCAGCGGCGCGCTTGTCGGTGGTCGTGAATGTGCGGCTCCCGCTTTGCAGCGACTCGGATCCATCTGCTGTGCGGCTGATGGGCGATTCGTCCTGCCCGCCGCTCGTATCGTGGAAGAGTAACGCGTCGTCCACTCATCTACGTGGGCCGTGTCTTCTTGTGTGTGTGAAGTCTGCTGCTGCTGCTGCTGCTGCTGCTGCTGCTGCTGCTGCTGCGCGCGTAGCTCTGCGGATGACATCTTCCCGCGGCTCGGAAGCGGAGTCGTTCTCACCAGCATCGATGTGCCTGTTGTCGTCGGCCGAGCTCGCGTCTGTTTTGTTTCCATATTTTGCGAATGCGTCTGCTCAGGAGCTGCCAGCGCTGTCGGTGGTGGCGCCATTGCGATCTGCTCGATGTCTCGGGGTCTTCGCGATGGGTCGTAGCATCCGTCGTTGAATGCGCCTCAGCGCTTGGAGCTTGTCTTGGTCAATGTCCAGGACACGCAACCGCACATGACATGTATCGTACTGTTCCGTCGAACAGACGATGTCTGTTGCGAACAAGGTGCGGCTTGTTCGTGAACTCGTCGCGGGGGATGTTGAACCTGCGAGCCTGCGCCATTTAGGCGCGATTATGTTGGTGAGGTCCCCTCGGTGGTAACTGCTATGGTGAAACACTTCCGGCCAAGGTATTTGGCAGTCTGGCCCGCGTCCCAACGTTGTTGTAATCGTCGCTGGCGCGTGTCATCGTCCGCCCCGTCGCCTGGAGACGCTGGTGAGATGTTGGATTTCGTCGGAGTGTATCGCAAACCCGCACTTTGCAGTTTCTCCTCTGAGGTACCCGACAATCACCTTCAGTTGTCCTAAGTTTGGCGCGAGGAATAGACGTCGTCTACACATCGGCTGTTGGTAAATCGCGTCAATCTGGCGCACCCCAGCGTGATTCCAAATCCTTTGTGTTCCCAGGAAGGCTTGACCAGCGTTGAAGAGCTAAGAGATGAGCGGGCCACCTTGTTTGACCTCAAGCAGTATGCAGAATTCTCTGCTCTTCACATTGACGTCGGTCCTCACTGTGGCGGCCTGGTATTTGTATAGGTTCTGGAACATGAGAGGATGTGAGCCCGGCACGTCATGCAGACGAAATCTGTTCCAAAGGTGTTGGTGGTCGACGCAATCGAACGCCTGTGAAGTAAATTGCAGTGGCCAATACAGGGAATTGCCATTCATCAGACGGTTCCTGCGAGACGGTGGCGGTGAAGAGGTAGCTGTCTATGCGAAGCGCTGCGAAAACCAGCTTTGTCAGATGATTATTCACATTCGGAGGTCGACACTAGCCAGTTGCGTCATAATCGAAAAATAATGGTCGTGGGACGTTGGTTTTGGGCCTGTAGTTTGACGCGGTTAGCGATTTGTCACACGGGTCGCCAGACTCGCAAATGACACTGAATAGGGTGAGGAGGAGGGGAAGGTGGGGGTAGGGGAGGGGGAGGGGGAGTGAGTCGAAGGCTGAAGGCGTGGCGACGAGGAGGTCCGAAGTTGGAGGTTTCCAGGCGTTTCCGCAGGTTCCGAAAGGCTTTCCAGCCTCGGGGTGCTCTCCAGCACCTGCGCCTCGCCAAGAGCGTTCCAGGGGCGCCCAGATCGTCCCGAACGGCTGCCAGAGACCAGAGCTGTGCTCCGAAAGACCACCCCACTTCGCGGTAGAGGAGGAGGAGGAAAGAGGAGGGAATTCGAGGAGAAGCTCGAGGGCCTGGGGGCAAGGGGGCCAGAGGACTCTTCCTCCCCCCCCAGGCCTCCCCTGGGGGCCGCCCAAGACGGGGTCGGATCAGCTGGGCGGGGTCGGAGGATCGCGCCGCGTCGGCGAAGCAGCGGCGAAAGATCGGGGTCGTGCTCTTTTCCGCAGCGTGGCACCCCAGATGTCTGGGCTCAGGTCGGGCCTGTCCCCTACAAGGGGGATCTTGGGCGGAACATTAAACATACGCAAGAAATGCGCCAAACATGCTCAAACATGAGCACAGCATCGGCCCTCGTTGGGCCCTGGGCGGGGGCCCGCCGAGGGCCCCCCAAAGCCGGAGGGCCGTCAAAACCTGCCGGCCGCGATCCTTCCGCGAGAGAGGCATCGGGCCCCTTCTCCCGAAGGAGGAGGAGGAGGAGGAGGAGGAGGAGGAGGAGGAGGAGGAGGAAATGGAAGAGGAGGAGAGGAGAGAGTAGGAGGAGGATAGGAGAAGGAGGAGGAGAGGAAATGGAAGAGGAGAGGAGGAGGAGGAGGAGGAGGAGGAGGAGGAGGGGAGGAGGAGGAGGATAAAGAGGAGGAGGAGGAGAGGAGGGGGAGGATGAGGACGATGGGAGGAGGAGGAGGAGGAGGAGGAGAAGGAGAAGGAGGGGGAAAGAGGAGGAAGAGGAGGAGTAGGAGGAAGGAGGAGGAGGAGGAGGAAGGAAAAGGAGGAGGAAGGAGGAGGAGGAGGAGGAGGAGGAGGAGGAGGAGGAGGAGAGAGGGGGAGGAGGGGTGGGGGAGGAGGAGGAGAAGGGGGGGAAGGAGGAGGAAGAGGAGGGGAGGAGGAGACGGAGGAGGAGGGGGAGGAGGAGGAGGAGGAGGAGGAGAGGAGGAGGAGGAGGAGGAGGAGGAGGAAGGAGGAGGAGGGGGATGAGCGGAGAGGAGGACGAGGAGGAAAGGCTGTGACAGAGGAGATAGGAGGAGGAGGACGAGGAGGAGGAGGAGGAAATTGAGGAGGAGGAGGAGAGGAGGGGAGGAGGGGAGGAGGAGTGAGGAGGGAGGAGGAGGGGGAAGAGGGTAGTAGGGGGAGGAGGAGGACGAGGGGGAGAGGAGGAGGAGAAGGGAGGGAAGGAGGAGAAGAGGATGGGAGGAGGAGGAGGAGGGGATGAGGAGAGGGAGGAGGAGGAGGAGGAGGAGGAGGAGAAGGAGGAGGAGGAGGAGGAGGAGGAGGAGGAGAGGAGAGAGATAAGGAGGTAGGGAGAGGAGGGGAGGAGGAGGGGCGCTGGGGAGGAGGAGGAGAGGAGAAGGGGGGGAAGGAGGAGGAAGATGAGGAGGATGGAAGGATGAGGAGAGGAGGAGGAGAGAGGAGGAGGAGGGGGAGGATGAGGAGGAGGAGGGGGAGGAGGAGGAGGACGGAGGAGGGGAGGAGGAGGAGGAGGAGGAGGAGGAGGAGGAGGAGGAGGAGGAGGAGCAGCAGGAGGAGGAGGAGGAGGAGGAGGAGGAGGAGCAGGAGCAGGGGGATGAGGAGATGGATCTGCTCTTCGACCCCCGAGCCGTTTGTTCGGGCGGGAACCTCGGCGGGCCCTGGGCGGGGCCCGCCGAGGAGGGCCCTCCAGGGCTGGAAGATCGTCAACACCTTCCCGCCGCGATGTTTCCGCGGGAGGGCGGACCTCTTCCACGTCTGAGCACTGTCCTCCCCCTCCCCTCGTCCTTGTCCCTGTCCCTCGTCCTTGTCCCCGTGTGATTCTTCCGCGGGAGGGCGGACCTCTTCCACGTCTGAGCACTGTCCTCCCCCTCCCCTCGTCCTTGTCCCTCGTCCTTGTCTTGGCGGCGAGCAAGGGGGGGAAGTGAGGAGGAGGCCTTCTCAGATGGCGGGACTTCTCAGAAGCTCTCGCGCCTTCTGAGAAGCTTTTGTCGGTCTTGGGGGAAGCCCCAGAAAACTCCTCGGAAGGCTGGGGGACTTCCGAACCTTCTGAGAAAGCCTCCTCCTCCTCACTTCCCCCCCTCGCTCGCCGCCGAGTGTCCCGCTCTTGCACGCCGGCCAATTAGCCATCCGGCTGCCCTGCGGAGGAGGAGGAGGAGGAGGAGGAGGAGGGGGAGGGAGGAGGAGGAGGAGGAGGAGGAGGAGGAGGAGGAGGAGGAGGGAGGAGATGATGAGATGATGATGATGATGATGATGATGATGATGATGATGATGATGATGATGATGAGGATGAGAGGAGGAGGAGGAGGAGGAGGAGGAGGAGGAGGAGGAGGAGGAGGACTGGAACGGACTGCCCCTGCCTGGCCGCCCACGGGACAAAGGACCCCCGACCGCGCAGCCTCGCGGGTGCCTCGCGGCGCGGCGCGAGCCTCCGACTCCAGCGGCTCCGGCCCCCGGCCCCCGTGCGGCCTGGGCCCCCGTCCCTCTGGGGGGGGGCCTCGAAGTTCGAATGCGGAGGCTCGCCAAGGAGGAAGAGGAGGAGAGGAGGAGGAGGAGGAGGAGGAGGAGGAGGAGAGGAGGAGGAGGAGAGGAAGGAGGAGGAGGAGGAGGAGGAGGAGGAGACAGCAGGGAGGAGGAGGAGGAGGAGGAGGGAGGAGGAGGAGGAGGAGGAAGAGGACGAGCAGGAGGAGGAGGAGAGGAGGGAGGAGAGGAGGAGGGAGGAGGAGGAGGAGGAGGAGGAGGGGGAAGGGGACCCGTCTCTCCCCCCTCTCAGGAGATTTACTGCTCTGCCCGCCCACCTATCCTCGTCCTCCTCCTCCTCCTCCTCCGCCTCCTCCTCCTCCTCCTCCTCCTGAGTCGATACCCTATCGGATCCTCCCCTGCTAGTCCTTCATCGCCTTTCTCGTCCTCGTCCTTCCCTCCTCCCCCTCAAGAGGGGACGTTGTCCAGGTCAGCTTGGGCCAGAATGCTTATGACATGCAAGAGGACAAAGAGGATGAGGATAAGGAGAAGGTAAAGAGAGTCAACGCATACGAGAGGGCATGAGAAGCCGAATGTGATGATCATAATCAGGACCACGAGCAGGAAGTGCAGGGAGGAGAGGGTATGAGACGGGACAAGGGAGGATGAGAGATGAGGAGGCGGAGGCGGATGATTCAGGCGACAAACTTGCATCCACGACGTGGGATCTCGAAAGGTAGGCCGTCACAGGCACGGGTATCACTCCTCGTCCTCGACGGACGGACGGACGATCGGACCGTCGGGGGGAGACACGCACGCCAAGAGAAGCCATGACGAGGGCGATGACGACGATGCAGAGGGAGAGGGGGGAGGACGAGCAATGCAGAAAGCGCCTCTGGGTCTGCAGACGTCCTGCAGATCATGCCAGGGTCCTGACACAAGGCCTCCACCTCCTGCTTGCTCAAGCCCTTCCGCAGGTGGAACCCTTCTGGCCTCAGCGTTTTTGCACTTCTGCACGGAACGGCAACGTGACACTTGAACATCAGCGGGACTGGAGCATCCTATTCATCCTCTTCACCCTCCTCCTCCCCGCTCCTCCCACTCTGTCTGCTTTGTCCATCTCCGCCTCCTCCTCCTACTTCGTTACCTTCAGTTCGCATCACGAATATTATGCGGCTCTTCGACGACTCTGGACAAGCTCGCGGCTACGACGGCGGGCTCGAGGCCTTCCAGCTTTGCGGTGCCTCGATGAACGACCAGCTGGCACGGGCGGACAGACTGCACGTGAATGACAAGGGACTCTGCACTGCAAAAGCTCGCAGCGACGACGCCGCGTGATCGGGTATGTTTTATTTTTCGTCGAGAATCCCTCTGCAGGGTCACCTCTCCGACCTCCGAACGCGCCACCTCGCGTGGGGCCCGTGCCTGCTCGTCGCAGCCGTGCCCCCCCCCCCTCCTCCTCCTCCTTCTTCTCCCCCTCCTCCTCCTCCTCCTCCTCCTCCTCCTCCTCCTCCTCCTCCTCCTCCTCCAGCCTTCATCCACGTCTTGCGGTTCCTCGACCCTGGCCTCAGGTCGGGCATGTCCCCCTACAGGCGGATCTGGGGCGAGAAAGAGAGCACACTCAACAGGTGTTCCCAAGCGGTCACAAACAAAACAATGAAAACGTCGTCCCCGGGCGATCCTTTGACTGTCTCGGAATATTTCCCCTGCAGAGGGGCACGCCCGACTTAACACCTGGGTCCCCAAACTTCGCGCCCCGCGCCCCGCGACTGCGCCACTGTGTCTGTGCACCCGCGCCCTCGAGCCGCCCCCCTTGGAGAAGGGCAACCGCTCCGGCCCAGACCGCGCCGCGCGAAGCGCCAGCACCCTCGCGCCCCCACGGGCAGGGCTGGACCTGAACGCTGTTTTTCGTGTTGTCTTCGTTTCGTTGTTCGTTCTGTTTTCGTCGTCCGTGCTGTTCTTCGTCTAGGTCCAGCCCTGCCCACGGGTGGCCTGGATCGCACACCACCAGGCGCTGACTCAGGTTAGAGGGGCCCTGGGACACGCAAATCAATACACACAAATAAAACAAAATCCACATATTTTCCTATATTTTCTGGGTTTTTGTCTTCCCCCCCACTTCCCATATTTTCCTATATTTTCTGGGGGATTGACGATTAATTGTGTCTGTGTGTTTCTGTTCCCTCCTGACAGGTGCTCGTCGACCCTCGCAGAACCGCTGCAGCGGCGGGGGCGGCCCAAGAGGCCTCCAAGGCGCTCAAGATGCCTCCAAGACGGCGAAGGTGGCCCCAACTCAGATGGGCCAAGATGCACCCAAGACGGCCTAAGATGACCTTAAGATGACCCAAGACGGCCCAAGAGGCCCCCAAGACGCCTCCAAGACGGCCTAAAAGGCATCCAGGAGGTCTCCCAGGAGGGCACGAAGAGGCCAACATCATTGATAATCCTGAGGTTTTTGACAGATTTTGGCATTTGCTTCTCCTCGGCATTCTGACGGCTCAAGACGGCGCAAGAGGCTCCCAAGATCGCCCAAGAGGCCTCCAAAATGGCCCCATGACGGCCCAAAAGGCTCCCAAGGCAGCTCCAAGAGGGCCCCCAAACGGCCCAAGAGGCCTCCAAGACTTCCAAGATGGCCTCGAAGAGGGCGCCAAGAGTGCCCCAAGAGGCGTCCAAGCCCCCTCCTCCTCTTCTTGCTCCCCCATGCGTTCCCCGATGTCTTTCCAAACCAATTCGGGGAACAACTGGCCCGATAGCTTGGCCAAGCTCTGGCCCAGCTGTCGGCCACAGAGGCGCTTCCAAAAAGGCAGGGGGCGGCGGTGATTCGCCGTAGGCGTCTTCGATCCGCCGCCACCCTATGGATTCATCACGAGGGTGCCTGGCGTGCTGAATCCTTTCGGTTTTGCTTTTGGTTCTTTTCCAAAAGAACTCCCCCTGGGGCTTCGGCCCCGCCGGCCACCCGAAAAGTTCCGAAAACCCGGTTGCAAAGGTTTTTCCTGCTCCAGATCGCACCAATATGGCCTCAAAGACTGCCAAGATGGGCCAAGATGGCCTCCAAGTTCGCCCAGGGTGGTCCAAGATGGCCTCCAAGACGGCCCAAGAGAGTCCAAGATGCCTCCAAGTTCGCACAAGAAACCTCTCAGACGGTCCAAGACGGCCCCAAGGGCCTCCAAGAGGCCTCCAAGACGGCCTCCAAGAGGGCCTCCAAGAGGGCCTCCACGAGGGCCCGAAGAGGCCGAAATCAGTGGTTCTCCTTTTTTTGAAAGATTTTGGCCCAAGAGGCCCCCAAGATCGCCCCCAGAACGTCCAAGAGGCCCCCAAGAGGCCCCCAAGACGGCCCAAAGAGGGCACAAAAACGACCCAAGAGGCCTCCAAGACGCCCAAGACGGCCTCTAAGATGGCCCTGGAGCACCCCAAGAGGGCCCCAAGTCGGCCCGGAGAGACCCCCCAAACGGCTTCCGACGGCGTCGGACGGACCAGGAGCCCACCAAGATGGCCGAAGTTGGCTCTGAGCTGGCCCAAGAGGCCTCCAAGAGGGCCTCCAGGAAGCATTTTCCTGAGATTTTTGAAGGATTTTGATATTTGCTTCTTTTCGGCCTTCCGACGATCCGAGACGGCCCAAGAGCCCCCAAAGATCGCCCCACGATCGCCCAAGAGGCCTCCAAGATGGCCCCAGAACGGCCCAAGAGGCCCCCAAGGCGGCCCAAGAGGCCTTTAAGATGCACAAGGTGGCCTCCAAGTGCTCAGAGAGGCCCCCCAAACGGCTTCCGACGGCGTCAGACGGGCCAGGAGCCCACCAAAACGTCCGAAGATGGCCCTGGGCCTCCAGGAAGGCCCGAAAAGGCCAAAATCAGTGATGTCCCACGTGTTTTTGAAGGATTATGGTATTTGTCTTTGTTCGGCTTTCCGACGGTCCGATATGGCCCAAGAGCACCCAAAGATCACCCAAAAGGCCCCAAAACGGCGCAAGAGGCCCCCAAGACGGCCTCAAGATGCCCCCAGGACGGCCCAAGAGGCCTCCAAGACGCCCAAGATGGCCTCCAAGATGGCCCTGGAGCACCCCAAGAAAACCCCAAGTCGGCCCGGAGAGGCCCCCAAGACGGCTCCCGACGGCGTCAAACGGGCCAGGGGCCCACCAAGACGGCCAAAGAGGCCCCGAGAAGCCCCCGAAGGTCCAAGAGGCTCCCAGGAAGCTGCCAGGAGGCCCCAACAGTGTCCCCAGAGGCTCCTCCTCCTCCTCGTCCTCGTCCTCGTCCTCGTCCTCGTCCTCGTCCTCGTCCTCGTCCTCGTCCTCCTCCTCCTCCGCCTCCTCCTCCTCCTCCTCCTCCTCCTCCTCCTCCTCCTCCTCCTCCTCCTCCTCCTCCTCCTCCTCCCCCTCCCCCTCCCCCTCCCCTGTCCCCGGTCCCCCTCTCCCCCCCCCCTCGCCTGAACCCGCGGCCCCCGCACCCACTTCACTTTGTAATGGGTGTCCACTGGGGCCAGGCGCGTGAGGGAAGTCCACAACGAGGGCGCTGGGGCGCGCATCAGCCAGTGCTCGGCGAAGGGGGGCCCATCCTCTATTCTCACCCCACGGCGCGGCTTCGCGTAGGCGGCGCGCCGACGGGCACGTCAGGGCCCCCACTTCCCCCGCAAATGCACCACTGGGAACGCAGGCGACAGCAACGCACGTTTGAGGCGACGTCCATAAGGGGGCGGGGGAGGCAAGGGAGGAGGGAGAAAGGGGGGGCCGGAAAAGGGAGGAGGCGGGCGCGCGGCGGAGGGGCGCGAGCCACCCGACCCCCCCCTTGGGCGCGCGCGGGCGCGCGCCAAGGCAAGGAGTGGGGAGGAGAGGGGGAGGAGAGGGGGCTGACTGCAAAAGAACACTCAGGAGGAGAGGGACTGAGGAGAGGGGGAGGAGAGAGGAGAGGGGGAGGAGAGGGGGAGGGGGGACTGACCGAGTAAAGCAGCGTTGCCTGGGGGGGAGGGAGGAGGAAGGGGGGAGAGGACGGCGAGGGCCAGAGGCCCACCAAGACGGCCGAAGATGGCGCCAAGATTGGCCCAGGACTCCCCAAGAGGCCTCCAGGTGGGCCTCCTTACTCGTATGGCGCTCTCAAGCCCGTGCCTTTTCACTACGCGTGTCAACGTTTCGCCCCTGCTGGGGCTCGTCAGGACTCGAATGAAAATGGCAGCGGCATGCGAATACAGCAAGTGCATGATCGACACAATACTGCGTGCAATGCGATACGGCAAACAAAAACACATGCATGCATGCGGCGATCTCTCAACAACACCCCTGTATTGGATGACTGCTGCTTCTGCTGAAGGCCCGAAAAGCCAAAATCATGGATGTCCCACGAATTGTTGAAGGATTGTGGCATTTGCCGTTTTTCGGCCCACCGACGGTCCGAGACGGCCCAAGAGCACCCAAAGATCACCCAAGAGGTCTCCATTATGGCCCCAGAACGGCCCAAGAGGCCCCCAAGACGGCCCCAAGAGGCCCCCAAGACGGCCCAAGAGGCCTCCAAAACGCCCAAAATGCCATCCAAAACGGCCCTGGATCACCCCAAGAAAGCCCCAAGTCGGCCCAGAGAGGCCCCCAAGACGGCTTCCGACGGCGTCAGACGGGCCGGGAGCCCACCAAGACGGCCAAAGAGGCCACGAGAAGCCCCCAAAGGTCCAAGAGGCTCCCAGGACGCTCCCAGGAGGCCCCAACAGTGTCCCCAGAGGCTCCCAAGATGCCCTCTCCTCCTCCTTCTCCTCCTCCTCCTCCTCCGCCTCCTCTTGATCTTTCCCGCCATCCTCCCCCAAATGTTCCCCGAAGAGTTTCCACAACGGTTGGGGAACACATGGTCCGAAACATTGGCAGAGCTTTTGCCACAACGCTCGGCCCCATGGGAGATGCTAGACGGCGGAGGGCGGCGGTGATTCGCCATAGCCGTCTTCGATATCCTCCGGGCCCGCCAAGTCCCAGAGGTTTTCGATTTTTCCTCCAGATGTTGGTTCTGCCTTGGTCTGAGAAGCGGCACAGGAACAGGTGCGCCCAAGAGGGGGGTTATGAAATAGGGAACTGACGCATCATGACCCGGGGAATGTGCGCAGGCGAGTTGGGGGCCAGAGAGTGCGTTCAAAGAAAAAAAGGGGGTCGACAAATCTGGGAGATCTCATGACCCAACCATGATATTCACGCACGCACCCCTAGTCTTCACTACCCTGTTTGATTCCTGGTGGTTTGGGGGTCATGACTCGGGTCTTCAGCAAACGCTCAGGACGATTCGGACAACCCCGGATAACTCTCGACGAGGCGCCACTGCTGGAAAACACCCCGGGGCGAGAAAGCCTCCAAGAAGCAGCGAACACCGCCTCCCCCGCCCCCCCCCCTACCGACGACGAGACCTTCCTCGCGGGATCCCCAGGAAGTCTTCGCCCACTTCCCCAGACGCCCACGAGGAGGAGGCCGGGAGCTCAAGGCGACGCGCGGGCCGGCGCTCGGGCGCGCGTCGACGGGGGGTCGAGGGCCGCCCGATCGGCCGGCCGAGGCCCGCGCATGTAGAACTCCAGCATCTCCTGCAGCAGCCGCTTGGCCTTCCGGGGGGCGGGTGGGGCCCGGGCACCTCGCTGAGATCCCTTGCGCGTGACGACCTCGGGCCCGCCGGGGCCTTGCCGTGACTGGGGCATCGGTCCGGCTAGAGCCTCTTTTCTTCCACACAGCACCGACGATTGCAGAGCGGACGCGATGCGCACTCCCCCGTGCTCGCCGCCCCGCCACGCGTTCGGCGCCGTCCGCGCCGCCAGGCTCGCGGTGGCCTCACGTTCGCACAGGTCGCGCCCGCTCAGTCTCTTCAAAAAACTAAGTCGAAGCCCACAGCGACTCGTCATCAGCCCAAGTCGCACTCGTCGTCATGGCCTGCCGAAGCGAGGCTTCTCAGCACTGCATTCGCTTAGCAAACACCTGGAATCTCGGCGTGGTCATGTCTTTGCGGCAGGTTGTCTGTCGTTGTTTTGTGTACGACCGTAATGCAATCCGCGCCGCCCCAAGCTCTTTTTTCTCCATGACTGCCATGGAGGCACCGCGGCGACCCTTCTCCGTCGCGATGCTCTTCTCGATTGTCATGGGGGCGCCGTGGCGGCCCCTCTCCGCCGCGATGTCCGGTGTAGCATGTAGAGCGGAGTCGCAGCAAATCGCGCTGCACTCGCTCGCTCTCGAGATTCGCCTCGCAGACCGCGACCCCGTCCTGCGCGACGTGCTGGACGAGGTCGGTGGCCGCAGTATCGCCACGAGCCGTCGCTGCCACCATCGCGCGGATGCGGATGCCCACCTGGTCGGCCCGCCCCGCGATCGGCAGATCCGCGGTGGTCATCGTGTTCGGGCGCTTCTCGCGCTGGTCGACCCGGCTGCAGTCTGCCGCGCCGTTCAGGCCCAGCAGCTTCCGGAACTTCGCCTCCGGGCGGGCGTTGCCCGCCAGGTCGCTTGGTTAGTTGTCGCGCGAGTGCGTCGAGATGTTCGACGTCGCCCTCGCCGTCGCATTCGTGGCCCAATCGCTCGAAGAAATGCGCCTTGCGAGCCGTCGCCGCGCTACTCGCTCCGCGGGACTTCGCCTCCCCGCTGGAAGCGCACTGGACTGCCCGGCGCCACGCGCAGCGCGAGTAGGCCATCTCGCCCGCGAACGCTGAGCCGCACGTCATCGCTCGCTTCGTCGGGTCGCCTGGCGAAGTTCGCGTCGGGGAGCAGGCCGAACGGGATCTTGCCTGGGTGACCTCGCCCTCCGCGTCGCGCGCGGCTGGGGCGGCGCCTCAGTTGCGCTCGAAGCCCTCGTCCGCGACCTCCTTGGTGGCTGGCCGTTTGCGCCTGGCCGGCGCCCGACGCGCGCCGCCCCGGAAGCGCGCGGCGCAGCTTCCGCGGGGCGTCGGTGCCCAGCCCCGGCCGCGCGAGCATCTCGACGCGCTCGGCAAGCGGGCGCCCGCGCGCATGTTCGGTCTGATATGCCCGGCAAGAAACCTTCGCACACCTCGGCAGACGCGCGACCTTCCTCGATCGCCGCCGCGTCGATCGTTCGAGCCATCTGACCCGCGGACGGAGCGGCGAAGCGGCCGCTGCAAACCTCCTGTCACTTGAACTCCTGGGCCATGCGGCGCCGCTTGGGCCCGGCCCCAGGGCGCCGCCGGCGCCCCCGTCTCGCTCAGATCGCCTTCGGGCCCTCCACCGCGGCCTGGGAACTGGAGACGCCCTCGAAAACGCCGTGGCGCTGGGCCATCTCGATGGCCTTGCGCTTCCTCGAGCGCGCGCTCCTAGCATCCTCTGCGTTGCCGACGAAGGCCCCGAACTCGATGTCGCCCAGCAGCCCGGAGCCCCGGGGCTCGCCCGCGCACTTGGCAATGGCGCCTTGGTCGGGCGCGCCGGCCTCTGCTGCCGCGTCCTGGCCGCCGCCCCCCAGGCTGCGACCGCGCCGCCTGTCCGACGCTGGCGAGGGCACTGTCGCTGCGGCCGCTGCCTGAGCTGGGTTGGGCGCGCCGCCCATGTCCACAACTAGCGCCCCCGGCGCCGGCTGCCGCTTGGGCCGAGGCAGGCTGCGATCGCGCGCGGGCTCCGCGCCCCGCCCAGGCCGCCTGGCGGGCGCCCCACGTCGCTCCATTCGCGCTCTTCGGCCATCGCGGCGGCCCCAGCCCCCGAGCCGCGCTCGCGCGGCGCGACCCATTCGCGGCCGCGCCGACGTGGTCGTCGCTCTCGGGGCGCTCGCCGACCCAGATGCCCTTCGCCATCGTCGAGTCGCCCTGCGGGGGCGCCGCGCCTGCCCCCGTCGCGAGCGAGCGAGGGCGCCGCCGAGAACGGCGCCATCTCCGTTGACGGCGGCGCCCCGCCCGCCTGGAGCCTGCCTCTAAAAGATTTGCGATGACGGGCATGATCGGGGGGGGAGTTCGCCCCCCCTCGATCGCATCGCGGCGGGGGGCTGCCGCGAGCACCGAAGCGCCCCTGGGCGCGCCGAAGCGGCCCGAAGCGCGACGTCGCGCCTGCGAGCCCCGCGCTGACCGCGAGACGGCGCGCGCGCGATAGAAGCGCAACGCGCTGTCAATCAACGGGGACTTTTCGCCGCCAGCCTCCGGGCGCCTCCAGGAACCTCCGGGGGCGTCTGGGGCCCCCGCGGCTTCCCCGAATGCCCCGTGACCGCCTTCGACGACGTGGGAATATGCGCGTTCCTTCCTCCTCCTCTTCCTCTCCCTCCTCCCCCCTCCTTCTCCTCCTGCTCTTCCTCCTCCTCATCCCCTCCCCCCCCGCCTTGCCGCGCCCCCCCCTCGCCCCCCCCCCCCCCCCCCCCCCTGCCCCCCCGAAGATCGGGGCCCTTTCCCTGGGGGCCCCGGGCCCGGGGACGCGAGAGGGACAAACGCGCCCGACCGGGGCCAGGGCCGCCCCCCGCGCCCCCCCAGGAAGCTTGACCATGAGCTCGAGGACCCGAATCGTCGCGCATGTTTTCTCGCTCTCCGCCGCGTTGTTCGGTGTAGCATGTGGAGCGGAGTCGCAGCAACGATGCGCTCGCTCGCTCTCGAAATTCGCCTCGCAGACCGCGACCCCGTCCTGCGCGACGTGCTGGACGAGGTCGGCGGCCGCAGTATCGCCGCGAGCCGTCGCTGCCACCATCGCGCGGATCCACCTGGTCGGCCCGCCCCGCGATCGGCAGATCCGCGGTGGTCATCGTGGCCGAGCGCTCCTCGCGCTGGTCGACCCGGCTGCAGTCTGCCACGCCGTTCAGGCCCAGCAGCTTCCGGAACTTCGCCTCCGGGTGGGCCTTGCCCCCCAGCGCGCATGGTTAGTTGTCGCGCGAGCGCGTCGAAGTGCTCGGCGTCGCCCTCGCCGTCGCATTCGTAGCCCGATCGCTCGAAGAAATGCCAGACCGCCTTGCGACCCATCGCCGCGCTGCTCGCTCCGCGGGGCTTCGCCTCCCCGCTGGAAGTGCACTGGGCTGCCCGGCGCCACGCGCAGCGCGAGTAGGCCATCTCGCCCGCGAACGCTGAGCCGCACGTCGTCGCTCGCTTCGTCGGGTCGCCTGGCGAAGTTCGCGTCGGAGAGCAGGTCGAACGGGATCTTGCCTGGGTGACCTCGCCCTCCGCGTCGCGCGCGGCTGGGGCGGCGCCCCAGTTGCGCTCGAAGCCGCCCCCCCGAAGATCGGGGCCCTTTCCCCGGGGGCCCCGGGCCCCGGGGCGCGAGGGGGGCAAACGCGCCCGACCAGGGCCGGGCCCCCCCCCCCGCGCCCCCCAGGAAGCTTGATCATGAGCTCGAAGACACAAATCGTCGCGCGTGCGTTCTCGCGTTTCCGCCCCCCCCGGACGCGGGCGACAGCGACTGCGGCGACTTCCTGGAAACGCTTTTGAATCATCATGAAATCCTCGAAGAATCCTTGGGACATCTCTGAAAACGAAAAGAGACTAGCGCGACGCGATCCGAGAGGCGGGCCCATCGCAGCCTTCATCGCCCACGCCTTTTAAACGCGGAGTCCCGGCCGCCATCGCCGCGCGCTCACGCGCCCCAGCCCGCGTCGCGTCGTTCTCGATCAGCACTGCGCTGTGCTGCGCCTCCACGCGACAGCGATCGGCGCGCGCGCTGCTGCCGCCGTCGCATCGTCGCCTCGACGGCCCCGTCGTTCGCCGAGCCGCGCGAACTGGCTTCCGAGACGCTCGACTCGCTATCGGCGTTGTTCTTCGCGCGCCCCCTCTTCGCTGCCTTGAGCAGCGCCTGGGTCGCGGGCGCGCTGCCCGCCGCCAGCTTGACTTCGTCGACGCTCGGCCTCTTGATTGCGCTGCGAATGTCGCTCGCCATTCCGAGACGCGGCCTCCCTCGTCTCCGCCGGCGCGGCCTCCGCCGCGCGCGCGTCGCGGCCCATCGTGCTCGGAGCCGAGCTGGGGCGATCCGCCGGGGCGGGGGCCTCGCCGGGCACTGCGAACTCCGCGCTCGTCGCTATGACAATGGAATCCAGCGCGGCCCCGGCCGCCCCGACGCCCTGCTCGCCCCAGGTCTCTTCCTCGCGCGGCTTCGCGGTCGCGTTTACGAGCAGGCGTGCCCCGCACCAATGCCGGCAAGCAAGATGTGATGAACCTCGCGCGCCGCTCTCCCCTCGGCCGTCGGCTCTCGCGGTCCTGCCGAGACTCGCAGTCCGATGGGCTCGGTCCCGCGCGCTGCCGCGCCGCGCCCCTGCTCGAGCTTCTTCGCACGGTCCAAATGGGCCTTTCTGCCAGCCTCGGCCATTGAACGGCCGGAGCGTCTCGTTCGCGCCGTGCGTTGGCATCCGGGGCCCCCTCGGCCTCCCCTGCAGGCCCGCCTCGCGGCCCTCGGCGTTCAGGGCGACGTCGGCCGCCCAGTCTGCCAAGGCGCCGCCGTCAGAGGGCGCGGGCTCGGCGACCCCGGTCGCCGCTGCGCCCGCGGCCCCCGAGCGCTCGGCCGCCGTGGCCGCCGCGTCGCCCGCTGCAGCGGTCGTCTCGCGCCCCGCCCGAGCGGTTAGGTTCGCCCGCCCCCGACGGGGCCGCCGACGCTCGCGGCGCAGACGCCCGCGCGCGCCTTCGCGCCCGAGCGCCCGTCTATAACGCGTGGCTTTCGA